TTGGGGGGGGGGGAGGTGGCGGCCCGTTACAGCGTGAATCATGGCACAAGTGGAAGCCACAGTTAGAAAGTAGCGTGTTGTTGACCTCTGCACTTTCTTCGGATAGCTGTGAGTAGACACTGCTGACGCAAAGTTCCCGTCTGGTGGTACCAATTCGCAGAAAGTTTTAAATAACGAAAATACTGTAAACGTCTGGGACTAAAATGGCGTGACCCAGAGACAGCGAAATTATCTGAATCACGGGCGGGACTGAATACGGTATTGTCATTTAAATTTCTGATTTTGTATTTAAAGGCACTATGAATTCTCTGTTAAAAGTGGACATTGACAGTCGCAATTGGATTGGGCCTCCGAGTTATTACGTTATATTACAAATGTACGTAAGTATTTGATTGTGAAAAGCACAATGCCCGAGGCAAGAAGCGTTCTGGACTTAACTGAACTTTGACGTAAGTGGTGGACTGACGTGTATTTTTCAGCCGACGTTTTACAGCACTTCTGGAACATTCCAAAAAAATTGTCGATGACATTTCAGGTTCTCACGAAGGCGATTATGAAGATAACTGTCGCGTGGTCCCATTTAAATTGACTCCATAATGTTGGAGGCAATAAGCATTTGTGAAACGTCTGTCATTTTCGGCGAGACTGCACGTCACAACATCTCTGAAGATATGTCATCTTCATAAGAATTGTCGATCTCGCGAGATTTCGAAAATAAAGGTGACATAATGATAGGATTTGAAGATGGCTGGCTTCTGGGTTGTAACTCCGTGTAGTACGGTAGTTTACCTCTCATCGCCCTGATGATGAAGGCAGCAAGGACCTCTGAAACGTCGGTAAACTACCAGACTACACGGCGCAACAACGCAGCAGACAGCCATTTTCTTAACAGAATGTTGTTCGAAGGCGTAACCTGAAAAGGAGTGCGGCAGAACTTTGACGTTCAGCGGAAACTGCCACCATTTTCAGTGAAATACTAGGCCGACAGATTTTCCTTTTCTTTTGATGCTACGTGATTTTCTGCGGCTGAATTTAATTCCATGCGAAATAAATGACACACAGGAACTGACATTTTGATGCTAATAAAACATTCAGAGTATCATGGTATCTGTTATGAGTGAAATTTACCAAGTTTCGTGCTAATATTTTAATGGGAGCTCACTCCCCCGTCATTATCCCCTTTTTGTAATTCAAAACATAAAATTTATTTACATTAGTAAAGATTAAACTGTTCATTGGCTTGCTGCTCACATAGTTCTCCGCTTCACCACCATATAGGAAGGCACATTAGCGCCATTGTGGCGAGTTGTAGAAGCTGAAATGGATTCTGACGTCGTAAAGAGTTCCGGTTTGAAACTGAGAGTCTTCGACAGACTTTATGTTATGTATTTGCATATAACAGAGAGTGATGGGACTTGAAATTTGTACTCTTCAAATGTTATTATGGTGACTGCATCGAGAAGTATGGAATGTATACCTATGAACACGAGAATAATCAAATCTAAAACTTCTTGACGATGGTGAAGAGTCAATTGAATAAAAATTTACTTGGATATTATCCATCGTCTAGTAATAAAAATGTGTATTTATTCCCACCTTTTGTGAGTTTGTGTCTTTTGGCTTTATCGTGTTTAACGAACTTTATTTCTACTATTTACTTTTTTACGTTCCACGGATGGATGGTGTGGTTATGCCTTTTTATTCTGGGACTTTCACTTTTTAATTTGTCCGGAGATAGGGATTAGCTCTATCTAGTGGGCCCAACTGAGTAGGAACCTGAAGACGGAGATAGAGCCCCATCTCCGGAACGTCGTTTTACGTTTTATTACTAGACGATATCCAAGTAAATTTTTATTCAATTGACGAGAATAATTTATGGAGATTTTTCTCATGTATGGATTACATGCTCAATATGAAACACTGTGTTGTATTATTGGTGCTTTTTTTTAAAAGTGTTTCCTTTAGGTAATCCGCAAGGAAGAAGTCACATACATTGAGGAATTTCGTAGTTTGCACTCTTACTGTAAATTTACACGAATATAACAGACATCAATGTAATAGTAAAAAACTATAAAAGAATGACTAGAATATATGGAAAGAATGCCTATTAACTGAATCCTGAAGTTACTCTATCAATATGAATTGGAGAACAGAAAGGTTAGGAGTAATTCATCATCAAACATATGCATCATTGTTTGTTTTTTCACCATATAAGTCACACGATTACTGTTTGTTCATTATATTCAGTTTGCAACACAGTGACTATTTAAATGGCATAATTCTCACTATTAACTGTACAACTTATACACTTTTCATTTTACCGTGTCAAAATGACCATCAAGAGACACTTACAGTCTCCAGAGCCCTCTTCTGTGACAGGAAGAGCTCTCCACTCGCCTGGCAGGCAGCACGTGCTACTTGTGAGCGGAGGTTACGCACTTGCTTCCCTACAGCCACAATAACAGAATGAAGCTGAGTGTGGATAGTTTCTGGGTGGTGGCGCATCAGTCGCATCAACAACTTCAGGCCCTGCAATGTCACCTCCCATTCTGAGTTGTCAAGGTACATGAAGCACTGCTGCAGGGCTTCTTTTGGCTTGTCCACAGGATGTAAGGTGTCAGGAAACAGACCACTGTTATGATATCAAATTGAGGAGGTTGAGATGAGTATAATATATGGAACAAACTTTCTATTAAAAAGTGTGGAGAGACCACATGGGTAATCTTTTTAGGAGTGGAGTATACTGAATTGAGATGATTCAAGATAATGGCAGTGATGTGCTTTTGTGATTATAATAATGAACTCCGAGATTACATGAAAACACAGAATTTCTTGACCAGCTAGGTATCAGTCTTTTACAAAGGAACTTACACATAGTTACTATTTAGTTATCTAGCAGATTTATTTTGGGGATTTAATTCTTGTATGCCATGGATTCAGTCTCCCAAGTGCATCAATGTTTGACACATCATTTTGTCTGGGGTTTGTGGTGGGCCTGATGATGCAGGCAGCAAGGAACACTGAAATGTCGGTAAACTTCTACACAGTGTAACAACACAGAAGACAGCCATATTTTGACTCACAACCACGAAAACCTCAAATCTTACATGCGATTATTATTGTTTGTTTGTAATATTTGTGTACACAAGCTGTTAATACAATAAAATTAGGTGTAATTGTTAAAAACAAATGGCGGATTCAATGTGTTTATCTGCCAGTGTGTTGGACATTACATTAATAGTTTAATTCTTTTCTGATATCTTGCAGGTGACCGCAGGCCAACATATGCAGCTGACTGCAGACCTTAAGCCAGGTGTATCAGTAGGAGCCCAGCAGGGGATGTACTTCAGCCAGCAGCAACCAACGCCATCTCAACCACCTGCCCCGCCAGGACCTGGGGACTCCTACACCGTGTCACAGTCTCAGACCATCAATTTCACGCAGCAGAGTCTACGGCAGCGTCCGGGCAGTGCAGGAGGGCGTCCAAATGTCGATCCCACAGTCGGGACCAGACAAGCCCTGGAACAACAACATAAGCTGATACAGCAGCAGCAAATGTTAAGGGCTCAACAGCAAGTTCTTCAGCAGCAGCAATCGCATATGACAAGCATGGGTCCACGCCCACCTCCTCCTGAGTACAAATCTAACCCACAGCTTATGCTTATGGGACAGCAACAGCAGAGGTTTACGGCGGCAAACATCAGAAGAGTTGGACAACAGCCAATGCCACCTTCAGGTATCGTATTGTAACAGACCATGGAAAATAAGGTGGCTTTTTGAGTACCAAAAACGTCCCATTCCAAATCTGCCTCTGCCATTATAAAAAATGTAAGCTTCTTCATAATTGATGATGCCGTCTTCTGGGTTGTTGCACCGTGTAGTATGGTAGATGTACTCCAACGATTCGAAGCATGACCTCTGAAACGTTGGTAAACATCGACCAGTCTACACAGCGCAACAACCCAGAAGACAGCAATCTTCAGACTTGCCGCTGTGAAAACCTCAAATTTTACATTCTTCATACTTAAACATGTCTTCCTCTGCACATGCACAGGGTGTAGGACAAAAAGGAAACATATTAATTTCTACCTCAATGCGTCGACACTGTTTGAGTTGTGGTTTATCTCTGGGTAGGTGAGCAACTGTAAGGAAATGCTGTAGATGATGAGGTTGTTTCCAGATAAAACACGAATACATAGTTTAATCTATGAAAAGATGAGAAATTTAAAGTTGAATTATTCTGAACATGGGCTGTATGAAATATCGAAATATGAGTAAACATGATTTTACTGATGGTCTGTAATATCTAATTTTATCATACATACATAGGTATTTTATTACATTCCATGGATCCATAAGACAGTCAGATGACGATAGGATGTGGAAAAAGTCAGTAATAATAATACAATACATATTACAAAGTACAATTCATATTTCACATAATACAAACAAAGGGTTCACCTAAAGAAATGATAAGTTACAAATAGATGTACCCATTACACACGGAAGAAAATTTATCACTTATTTGTAAACAACATAAATTCATTGACAGAGTAAAAGGAGCGTGTAATTAAGTATTTTTTAATGCTACCTTAAATTGCTCTTTCTTATTTTCAAAATCTGCAAAAAAAATTTGAAAAATTGTGCGCGTAGTGCATTATTTATAAAGTGCTGTTTCACTACTTGATATGACGGGTGTCGGCAGATTGCACTGCTCATTAGAGTACACTAATAGGATTAGAGATGTGAGGGTGTGTGATAATTTATTTTGTCCATTCTTCATGGTGCTGTCTTCAGACATACATGACTTGATGGCTGTTAGCAGTTTTTAAACCTTCACAACATTTTCTAACTAATAGTTAAGCATTAATTCTAATGAAAAGACTGAGTTGCTGACTCCATGGAGTGTTGTTGTTAAGGAGGTAATAGCTGCTGAGCTGATTGAAAAATTCCACGTGTTTTATGGAGCCTGAAGGTTAATTATTCTATTTACAAGAACCTGCCATCAGTGCCTATTCTGAATCCCACATCACCTATTTTGTTTTAGTAACATCTGTTTTAATATTTTGCTCTCATCTGTGCCCAGATATTTTGATTAGTCTGTTTTGTTGAGGCTTTTCAACTGAAATCTCATCTCTTCGATGCTTCCTACACGTCGCGCCCGTCTTGGCTCCTCGATTTTATTATCCTAAAGCGTTAAAGGTTATTCGGTCATATTTGACAAAGAAATAAAAAACTCCTTCAAGGAGACACTGCTATTGCAAAAGAAATGGAATTGAAATTATTACACTGTGCAGTGCACATGACTGATGCAATTTGTGTTGCTGGATCAGTGTTGTCACCTGTGGCTGAGGAAATCAGTTTGGTTATCTTCTTGTAACTTTTACTGTGATTTGATGGTCGTGGGGATAGTGTTTTCTAGTGTAATTCTACAGGACCTTCGTTATCGTGATGTTGACTCTGTTCAGGTCCGATGATGAGACCGCAGCAGCAGCAGCAGCAGCAGCAGGCGCTTCATGGTGGCGGAGGCAGTATGTATATTGGAGGACCCACCGGAGTTGTGCAGCATCAACACCATCTACCCCAACACAGGATGACAGGCACCTATGTGACGTCGGGCGGACGTAACAACCAGCGGCCACCCAACATCAGCATCGGGCCCGACGGGATCAACATCGGCGGCCGTGGCAGCGCTGAATGGAGACATCTGCTTATGTCACAACAGCAGAATGCGGTGTTTGGGACGCAGATGCGGCCGGTGTTCAATCAGGGTGAGCCACTGACATTGAGACTTGTAACTTATGTTAGGTGGGAGTTTCCCAGTGCTGATTTATTTTTGTGTTTGCTGCACTTGTCACTACGTAAAGATGATTTATGTATTCAGTTTCACTGATGCTAAACTGGCATTCTCAGGAGATTTTATAATACTTTCACTTAAAAATAAGGCATCACCAAAATCTGATTTTTAGGTGTTCTTTACCCTGTAGTACAAATGAAGAACAACGTAATGGTTCCATCTGTGTCTGTCACGTCTTTCATCATCCTGTTACGGCAGTGGCATCGGAGCTGATTGTTGAAACAATTATCTTGGTTTACTCTGTTGCCCTTGATATTGCTGTTAGATTTGTTATTCCCTTGGTCACCATGCTGATGTCAAGGAAGAGAAAACTTAATTGTTGGCACTTACCGTGTACTTGATGCTAAGCAGAATTAGGGAAAGTCGTATAGTACCGGTCACCTAAGGATTTCGGGGTGAGGGGAGGAATGTGTAATGTGAAATTACGAAACCTTATCGCAAATTTGAAGTTTTTTGTTCGTGAAATGTGTATTTTGAATAAAACAGTTTGTCAAAAAAGTGAAGAAAAATGTGTTTAAAAAATTGTTTACATTTTCAACATTATAAAAATTGGCATCTAGTATCGGACACTACTGTACTTATAATGTGTTTCTCAGTTTTGATAGAAACTTTCAGTCTTTTTGAATCTTGACGCCTTTTGCAGATCACATTTGTAATATGACGTATTTACCCTCAGTATCTGCACAGTTTTCATACACCCAACCACCAGAAGAAAGATGTATCCAGTCCTCATTGAATTTCTGAACAGATGATGCATACTGTTGTAGGTCTTTTATATGGCTGACTAGTTCTTCCTCCAACTCGGTGAAAGTTCTCCGAAATCAACCAATGTCGGGTGTCGCTCCTGAATTGACACTTTTTAAATGCTAAAGTCAGAGGTTTATTCATTTGCATTGAACGATATTGAGCATTGTCACACTATTAGACAGGTTGGTGTAAGATTAGGAAGTAGCATTTCACTAACTCACTTCAGAAATTTTCAAAGTTAATTTTATTGTTTATCCCTTATTAAAAAATTAGAAGCGCCCCTGAAACAAATCCTCTCTGAGTCTCCATGTACAGTTACAGCACTTTTATGTTCATAACATTCTCGTCTTACTGTCTTTCCAACACTCGCTGTCTGTATATGTTGTGTCCGTCGCTATTTGTGAGACAGATTGGCGCAGAGGGAAGACCTTTTGATAAACTCTTGCATGTCAGGAGTACTGAAAAATTTGTGTTATGCGTGACTAGCTTCATAACGATTGTAAAGAATTAGAAATTAAGGAATTAACTAGTTTAGATATTGTAAATTTATGCCTTGCATTCACATTGAAAATCATTCCACATAGATGCTGATAATTTGATAATAAGTTAAAATAAAGTGAATTACTGCAATGTATTTAAAAATTAATAGGCCTTTCTTAGCACACATAATAAAGAACAAAATTATGTTGCAATGGAAAGATTCCAAGTCAAGTTTGTGTTGACAGCCCTGCATGGAACCCCATTTCAGCTAGTGAGTGAGTCACTTGTTATAGCTGCTTTGTTTTCTTTTTTATATTAATGTGACATTACAATCCAGAAGACAGCCATCTTCATACTCACTGCTGTGAAAACCTCAGATCCTACTTTTATCATATTGATTCCTTTTTCCACATATACTTAATTACTATTGTTAAATTCAGATTAATTACTATTCATTGTAATAAATGGATACAAAAAGTATACTATGTAATTACTTTCCTTTCCTGTTATTGATGGGGTATTTTATATCCATCATGAAATCTCTACTTAGTACCATAGTTTGGAAATATATTTTTAACACATATTTGTGTGATGAACAGCCTTTACGGAATACATCTATTTCATAAAATGAGAAATTAATGCATTGGCTTCACACTTCAAACTACCTTATTGACGATTTTATTTCTTAATATAGTTTAGATAGCTCTCATTGTTTATTATCTGTGTTTCTGTGTGTCCCATCTCTTGTGTACCTGCTTCCTGAATGTTTGTGGAACAGTCAGTAGTCGATACTGTAGACCCGTCTTTGTTAGAGAGCCTTTACTATTCCAAAATACAGCTGTAGATCCTGATACTTCAAAGTACAGGAAGTCAACCAAAGCTCGAAAAGAATGTTATTAAGCTTATGACTAACAGTTGTGGTTTATAGCTTTATTTAGTCTTGTACCTTACTAAACGGATGTATCTTAATATAATATATTTAAAATAATGAACATACTATTTATATGGTCTGTTCCGATAAGAGCTGTCTCCCACTCCACTGACCAACCCTTCCTTTTATATTGTTTACTTTGCCTCTCAAATATCCAGGAATCGGGTTTAAATACTCTGGCCTTGTATATCCTATACCAGTGGTCCCCAACAGGAGTAAATATTCCAGTTTTTATATTTTTATTGCTATTAAAATGTGTTTTTAATTTACTCAGATTCCTCTGTATTTTTTCCCTGCTGTGGTGTATCTGAATCTGTTCAGGGCTGTCAAAATTTTTTCTTGAGATAATTGTAATGATGGGGAATGTGTTAGTAGGGGTTCTACAGAATATGGAGTATGTGTTGAGTGAAAGTTGAATACCGCTGTCATATACATTGAAATTATAGAATTCTTTTTCTTGTGTACTGTAATATTTCTTATAAGCTGTGTTGTTGCAGGTTCATTTGGAATGGGGAGTGGCCAAGGGGGCTTGCAGATGTCAGCAGCACAACAAATGCAGCATCAGCAGCTAGTCCGTAACCAGGCGCTCTCAGGATCACCTGTAAACCAGATGCAGATGTTATCACAACAACAGTCTTTGGGTCTCCAACAATCTTCACCAACTGCTCAGGGCATGACCAATGCAACACAGGTAAAATGCAAAAGAAAAGTGTTGCTGCAGACACTAGGTTCATGTGTCTGAATCCTGTCCAAGGCATGAATGTTTCTTTGTGTGTGGTTTTTTTTATTGCCATGCTTCAATTCTCTTCCCTTCAGGTTTCCCAACCAGTACCCGGTGCACCCCTCTTGTCCCATCCATGCGCGCTACATGTCCCGCCCATCTCATTCTTCTCGACTTAATCACCCTGACAATACTGGGGGAGCAGTACAGATTTTTAAGCTCGTCATTGTGCAGTTTTCTCCACGCCCCATCGTCTTCCCTCTTAGGCCCAAATATCCTCCTCAACACCCGATTCTCAAAACCCTGCAATCTGTGTTCCTCCCTCTGAGTGAGAGACCATGTTTCGCACCCATACAAAACAACAGGCAAGATTATTGTTTTGTATACTTTAATTTTCAGGTTCTTAGAAATCAGACGGGAAGACAAAATATTTTGAACTGAGAAGTAGCAAGCATTTCCAGAATTTAATCTCCTCTTCAATATACACATCGTCGTAAATTCCCAATTTGAGGATTCTGGTATAAGCTAATTCCTCATGCAGATAAAATAGTTTCAAGATCTTGGGAAGCAATTTCTAGAACTGAGTAAACTTTGGAACTTCAGAAAGGAACTCTGAGGTTTGGATTGGAATCCATCTTGGGCTTGGATGTACATGTGCAGTTTTATTGTGACCAGTCATCTTTCATGCAGATACAGTGCAGCTTAAAACTACAGTTCTGGTCTCGATACATGGTAAAGACACACCGTGCCATTCACCAAGAGCTGTATGTAGTGTAGAACAGGTATATGGAGTTTAAATCGCCTTTGTTCACAGAGTAGAAGATAATTTCATGTGGCTGCTGCCATTGAAGGATTAAGAATCTTTGGAAGTCATTCTAGCATTTAGGGAATTTTGGAAATCTGAGAAGAAAATTCCATTCATAATTACTTGCAGGTGCATTCCATTCATAAACTGTAAAGAAGAACCTCATACAGAATAGATGGATACATTTTTTTGTTCCGGGTTTGTTGTTAGGTGTGGTGAACCACATATTCTGGTACAGTGTTGTGATTTTAGGGCAAAGATTACCTGTATAAAAATGTGTGTTTGTTACTACATGAATTTATACATGTTGCAGATGTCAATGAGCCTTCAGATGTCACAGTCAATGTCGGTGACTGGAGGAGGGGCGGGCTCGCCTCATCATCCGCAGCAGCAGCCGCCACCCCAACAGTCCATTGTTAGCTATGGTGGAAGTCCTGTTGGGGCAGGGGGAGGGAACCCGGGGCCACCACCTCAGCAACAGCAGCACCCTCCACCCACATCCACCTCTTCAGTTTCGCAACCTGCACCGCCTCCTCCAGACTTTAGTCTCGAATTCCTTGAACATTTGCCGACTGGAGATTCAAGTCATTTCTCAGCAGCTGCTCAGGAGTTACTTAATTCACTGGATTCAGCCTCTACATTCAATCTGGACATCCTCTAAAACAAAAGAAAGTTCTGTCTGAAATATGGTATGAAATTTGAGATAGCCATTCCACTGTTAAGTATTGTTTGAAAATATTCTCGTGAATGTGTACATTAAAAATAAGGATGAACGTCTGGAGGGCTGTTAGAATAATGGCATCTTGAAATGTTTGACTTTCGGGTTACGAGCCACATCAGGTGGCTGAATGGTAAATAAACTGTATCTTCTGCCAACATTTTGAGAGCACAAAACATTGGCAGAAGATATGGCTTATTCACCATTCAGCCACCTGACATGGCTAGTAACCCGAAAGTCTTTCATCAAGTATACTTTTGTATATCCTTCTACTGATGTCTCCCTTATACACACTATTTCATAACTTTGTGTTGTATAATTTTGTAGCTTCATGGTAAAAATTTTGTTGGCAAGAAGTGATCACACTGTGCCGTCAGGGAAAGGTGTAATGCCTGAGAAAATTTAACATGGCATTTAATTCTCCAGATGATTAAACAGTTCATTTGTTCCCATGAAAGGAATTCCACTTGTAGTTTGTTTAGCTAGCATTTTTTAAAAAAATTAATGTTATTGAAATTATTAAAACACTTGGGTTAACTAAATTCTTGGATTAAGGACAGGTTAAAACGGGGAAGAGGCACCTACTTAGTTGGGTCCTATAAAAAGAGCCAACCTCAATCACTGGACCTGAGGACGGAAGCAGATCCAGGTTCCGAAACAGTGTTTTTTATCAAAAACATGGACGATGGACATAGTCCAAGAATTTAGTGATCTCGATTGTAACACACCATTGTCAGAACCCTTTAAACCAACTTATTAGAACACTTGTTAGGAGAGGTTTTATGTGATACTTTTTCCTGGGTTTTTGAAAAATTTAAACAAACTAAAACTCAATTGTGTTCAATATTTGGTTTTTCACTGTATGTTTATTTTTATTTGGGTTTTGTTTGTTTTAATATTCCAATTAGAGACAAGTTCAGTAAGTGGTGGAGGATGGATGACAAGGATTATGAAAGTTATATTTGAATTTACACTGTCTAAAGGACATAAAGATGTAGAAGAAGGTGACATGGATTTTTGTTCACTAATTTTTTCAGTAAAATATGGATTAATTATACGTGGAATTCCTTTGATGAGAGAGTGAATGCATTATAACATCAGCATCTTACTCAGCCAAGTTATTACATAAGCTGAGAAAGCTGTGGTATTATTTCACTGAAGAATTGACCATAGTAGAGATAAGTGTCTTTTCCTCATGCAAGTAACTTTCTTCAAAGAACATTACCGGATTTTTCCTAAAAACAAATAGGTTGTTGTTGGTTGGTTAGTTTTTTTCTTTCTTTATTCCCCCCCCCCCCTTTTTTCTCTTTTTTTGTTCTGTGATTTAATTTAACATCTAATAAATGGGGATGGGATATTTCAAAGTACATACTATTGGTATAGCAGCCAGATTTTAATATGGGGAATGAAAATAATATTGAGAAAATACTTTTATATGTGGAAATGTCAGGGCTAAATTATCATAGTAAAATATTCTTTTATGAAAATTCCATAGTGCTATAGTTTAGTTGTGTTTTTTTAAAAAAAAAATAGGTTCTAGGTTCATAAGTTAAATTAAATTAAATACTGAGTGTATATACATCAAAATTTGCAGTATGCATTTTGTTTCATATGTTGGGATGGTTTAGAAATTCACCTCTTTTTGGAAAATATGAAAAAACAGTCAATACAAAACGTAGTTTGCACTTTCAGTACTGAAATATTGTAGTAATTTGTTTCTTATCCCTGAATACACATGTCACTGTAAGCAGCTGGCCAATTTCTGATGTGTTAAGCTTTAAGAAGTCAGGAATATATTTTTGGTGTTTAATTTTGCTGCCAGGATATTAAAATGTAACTATTCAGAATTGTTAGATCCTACATGTAAAAAAGTAATTTTTTTGTCTATTTCATTATCTTTGGCTAAGTGAGTAGCTATTCGCCATTCAGTTGCTTCATCATTGGAGACCATGTTCTGACCGTAGTCTTCAACAATAGCTGGTGTACGAGCTCTCCCACACTCATCACACAAACTTCATTCTGTTAGTTGTCGTGCACATTTATCGGAATGTGCACGCCGTGTTCTCCTTTCCAAATTAGACACCTCTGACTCTAGCACATGTGTCACCGTTCTGATTTTGTGTCTTACTGTCGTAATTTTTTGGCGTCACTTTATGATTCTGTCTGCCATTTCTGTAAGAATTTGTCGGTTTAAAGTTTTTGGCCAAACTCTTCCATGTGTAGCTATCATCATCTTTGTTGAACTTTGCCTGTCTTTTCCAAGTACATGCTTATGTCATAAGTGTAGGCAGTCATATATCACAGTTTGTGAATCTTTATACCAAAGCATTTGTGTTTCCTAAGAATGCATTGCTCGAAAATAATAATCCCTCTGAGCACCACTTTGTTCACTGCTAAATGTTCAAATAAATTGTAAAATTTAGAATAGCTGTAAATGTGCATACAAAAGAGTGATCTTATTTTTCAGAGTCTGTTACAGTTCTTGTTAGTGGTGTCTTGTTGATTCATATTTTCACAAAAATGTAGAAATATCAAATGAAAAATTTATTGTTTCATCATGTTACTATAAAATGTAATTTAGAACCGTTTAAAAGTTGACCTGTAATATTTGAATGTGTCCCACACATCGTGTCCCATTTTGTATGATAAAAGCTAAAAATTAAATGCATCTCCTCACGTCAGGAATTCTTGAGTGCCCCGTTGTTACTGTTAAGTGTAACTAAATACTGGTTGTAGTAATAGTCTTTGTCACCAACAGCTGGATCATGTCTATGAAAAAGAGATAAAAGATGGTAATTAGTGAAGAATCCTTTTTCACATAGGATTCTTCGTATATCTTCAATCCGCTTAGAATTCCAATGAAAGAGTGAATACGACCATAATTTCATGGATGTAGTGGTCTTGACCAAATATTCCCTCAGATTTCAGTCACATTTTTATTACTTGCTGCCACAGTGTCTTCATGAAACTCACTTTAACAGCTAGATAAGATTCCTTCATCATTTTATATTCTGTTTCTCCAAACTTCTGCCATTATGAAAGGAAAATTGTATCTTGTTAAGAGAAATAGTTTTCTGTTGGTTCCCACTATGCGAGTTTCTGTTTACAAATCTTCTGATGGTGCTCTGGTCTACCAATCCGGAAATTTTCTCACTAACATCAAGCTTTTCAGGGCTGATAATTATAATAAGTTACAGCTGGTAAGCATAATGGAATAATGTACAAAGCAGTAAAAATTAGTGTCATTAATTCCTATAAAATAACCCTAAATGAACAGTGTGCAAGGGTAACATGTCCAGCTGGATGTATGCGTAATAGTGCAGTGCATCTATAATTAAGTTTAGAGGAATGTGACAGAAAAATTTATGAATAAGCAGTAATTCTAAGCATGTAAGGCTGATTTCAATCCTACATTATGGCAGTGGAATGTTGTTTAGTTCCTGTAACTCCTGAGTGGAGCATAGGGCCTCCTTTCGGAGGTTTCATAGTCTTTAAAGCGTGCATTTAAGAGTAGTGAGTGACTAGTCCACTGACTCTGCACAATTTCTACTCACTCCTGATTTGACTGCCAGAGCCATCTGGCAGTGAAGCAATGACAGTGGAATGGCGTCTCGTTTATTTTACAACACAGTCCAACAAGTACAAAGTGAAGGATGAACACTTCTTTGATGGTCTTGCCATTTTTAATCTCGTTCCCTCCGAAATGCTCCTCCATTACGAATATTTAGGTAAGCTGGTGTGGTAAAAAGAAAAATATAGAAGTGACAGGTGCTGGATTATTGTGTATTGTGCTCTTTGTTGGGATGCTGATGACTTAATAGTCGGTAGGCTGTCGTAGCCTTTTGTATGCCACTGTGACTCATTAGTAACGTGAAGAGACCGTCTTGATTAAGTATTAGATGTTTACTGAAAAATGAAAGCAACACCATTTTCCATGTTACAAGTTGAAGAAATAGCATCTACCAGCTTTTTAAATAGATTGTTTGTAGCTTTGAACATATGCTGCAATATATCGATTGCACATACATGTTTAAAATCCTTTTGTTATCTCTTTATTCTGTACATATAAATATTTTATTTGTGTAGTTCAAGCAGTATGTCATCCCCCGCAAAGATATTTTCATTATGTCTTCTATAAAATGGGTAGAAAACATTCCATATATGACACATTCATTGAGCAAGCAGTGAAAATGCTTGTCACAACTTTCCAGAAGGAAGCTCTCGACACGTAATGAATATAATGTTGGGCAGAATGCTATGTGATTGATTCAACTATGCAATAAGACTCATTCCCACCTCAGCTGTAATTTATAAGTAAAAGCACACAGTGAATTGTTATGGGGACTATCATAAATTTAAAAGATTCTTAACTTTAATCATATTTTGGACTTGTGTTATCTGAAGTGTTTATAGTGTGTTGCAATGAAATTTTCATATGCTTGTTACTGTGGTAGAAATAGATCAGAGTAAACATACACGGCATTTCCTCTGCCTCGTTTTTAACAGCGCTACTTAGCTGTTGTGCTAGCATCAATAAACACTTCTCTTAACATGTGGAATCTTTTGTAAGTGTTTCCCCTGGCTTAAAGTCTTTGTGGTGAGTGTTGTGCCAGCTTAGGTAATGAGCGTAGGTGGACCCTTGTTGCAGTCAGCAGCTTTCTAGTGTTTATTTGAACCGAGAGTGCAATCAAAACATCGCCGCCTACCTCATGGTGTTGGTGTCGTTGTGAGGGACCAAAGCCGCCTGCTGCTACCTGCTCTGTACATTTTGTGTTATGTGATGTGGAGTTCTGTAGTGTATTACACATTTCAGCAAGAATGGCTGTGGGACCACTCGGCAAAAGACAATGTCAGGGTAGGAGGGAAAAGAACAAATCATGAACTGGAACATTACTTACCAAGTTCCAAGGAATAGTTATTTTTACCACTCCATTGTTTCAAAGGTATTTACCATGTTCTGAAAAGAAAAGAAAATACGCAATCTAGTACACAGGGATCAAATTTGAGTTTATTACTCACCTGAAAGACAAACAAATTACATACAATTTTAGGAACAAATGGAATCAGTATTTTTATTATTGATTTTCTTTGCTGGTTATTTTCATTGCTTGTAATTATCAGTTTACAAGTAATGTACCAATGCGGTTGACTATAGATAGATATATAATTATATCATATTATTAATGTATATATTTAAAGATGATGAGAGAATTGTTGATATTATGAGTGTTAATACAATGATTTGCAAGGAATGCACTATCAGTGGAGCAAGTGTGTTTGAAGATGCCTTGTGCCAAGCCAACACAAGGCAAAATATTATCCATTTTCAAATATTTTCTCATCTGGAAATGGATAAATGTAGAACTTGAGGACTTATAGTATGGGGTTTCAAAACTATTTTAAACAAGTCAATGGAGTACATCTATGTTTTGTCAATTAGGACTTTAAAACAAAAGAAATAATGAAAATGCTAGGTCTAAACATGTTTATACAATGTAAGAATTCTAATGACAGGTGTGCTCAAATGAGATATGTTGGTGGTGGTTTTAAGTCTAACAGTGTCACATGGCAATTGTGCTCATATTACTTATGGTTTGTGATGTTTTTTGTCTTTCCAAAAACTGAATGTCTAACCATGGATTACTGGCTGTGCATTTATTTAAAATAATGATGTAGAAGTATTTTTTGAATATGCAGAATTTTAATGATAATGCAAAGACTTCAACATTGTAGTGAATCAAATGTTTGTTAAAGTTCACAGTAAGGGAAATTTGCCTGGATGGTTTGCCAAATATAGTTAGTCATGCTCATTGATTAGTGTAAAACCTGTTTTTTTGGTCCCCCCACCATATAAATCAAAGGTATGTGCCCTTTGTAGCTGTTTATGTTGCAAAGAAAAGTGTAATGTGGCTCATACAAATTATGTTTCAAAATATGGATAAAATGGCAGTAAAGGTGTGTTATTGTTTTGCTGCATAATTTATATATGAGATTACACTGCTTATAATCTTGAATAATGGGTGATTGTGTCTTGTGGATTTATGTATTATTTTATGGCTCATATGCCACTTTGTGTTCAAACAAGGGACAATAATTGGGTTAGCCTGGTGAGACAAATATTAATTGCATTTTTTCAGCTTTGGTTTTTTTCACAAAGTAAAGAAGAGGAGTTTTTAAAAAAATTAAGTTAGGAAGAAATACAGTGGGGACTAAGTGCATCTTTGAGGCTGTGCCAGCAGATGGCAGTAACTGTTTTCTGAGTGGAGTTTTCTCACATATATTGTGATAAGAAATATCTGGAGGAGTAAACAAAGTAAATGCAACACTGTGATTGTGCCAAAATAAACGTAAGTGGTTAATAAATATTGAAACTTGGAAAGTTTGAAATGTAGGACCTCAGGTTTAGAATGAATTGGTCTGAATGAAAATAAACATAATATATCTTAAAATATATTAAGTTATGGGGTTTTGTATCTCATCTATTTAAAAGCTTTTTGAAATTAATGTGCATCTTTTTTAAGTTTCTTAAAATCCAAAGTCTTATTATTTAAAACTGAACTGAAAGTAATAAAAATGGTATAGGTTAGGTTTAAAAATATAACTTGACAAGTTTAGTTTCTTGTGTTCTTTAACTGAATATTTAATTTCCTGTTATGAATTGTCTAATTCCAGAGTCCTTGAGATGCTGGCAGTTAAAAAACTCCCCATTTTTTATTGAATCAAAATGTGCATTACTGTGTTCATAAGTGATTGCTACTGGTCCGTCATATGCCAGAATGTAATCCACATTCACTCTGTTTCACCAAGATCCATTTTAATATTCTATCTGTTCATGATTTTGCACCAAAATTTTGTGCATTTTTCTCTTCTCTCCCATATCATGTCTAGTAGCTTATCCTTGATTCAGTAATTGTGATGGTATTATGAAGCTCTTTATTATTCAGTTTTCTCGATCATCTTGGCACTTTATCCCTCTTACAAGAACAAGTATCAAGGTCCAATTTTAGTAATAATTTTTCTTTCTCTTTTTGCATTAATGCTGAATATGACTGAAATATAATTTTAAAATTCATAATAATAGAGTTACCTGTTTCGTAATAAATAACTACTGATTCTATATTTTGAGGATGAACAATATTTTTGTAATTGTTCAAATGTACTTTTTTTTCTAGGTCTTACAGGAGAATGTGTTTCATAATATTGTCTTTGTAGTCTTGTAGAAATTCACTGATGTTTCAGAGGTTTTTACTGCCTCCATCATCAGGACTGTTCTGATAATGGAGACTGTAAGCACCCCTGAAGCAATAGTCAGCTTCTTTGTGTGCGACTACATGGGTCAATATGCTATAGAATTGTTTATTTATTATCAGTAATTTCTACAAAAAACGTTTAGTTAATATAGTCAAAGAAACTAAATGAAAAAGTATCTTCCCCTAACCCTAGAAACAGCAAATGAGATCATCTTTTTCAGAAAGAAAAAGTTATTGAATGAAGATGGCTGTCTTTTTGGCTGTAACTGGTACATGACACTACAACCCAGAAGACAGCCATCTTTTGTATTCACCACTATGAAAACTTCAAATCAAACAAATCTTCCAATGGACTATCAACATTTTTACATTGAGAAGAGTATCACCAGGTTTTGGTTGCAAGGCTTACAAAATTACAGTGAAAATGGTTAAGTTGCATATTGGATTGTGGGCTTCCATTTAATTTTTGACATGGTTGATAACGACTTTCACGTTTCCAATGGAATGTTGCTAAATTTTATGCGCCACAGTTGCTTCCTTGCAACTTTACGCTGAATAATGATCACCAAACGTTGTTCAGGTAACCATATTAAAAGATAGGATTACAATTTTAGTCAGGAAATTTAATGAGAAGAGGTCACATAGGAGACCTAGGTACCAACTCCCTGGTATCTAAACCCACAGGTTTAAAACCGACAACCAAAGCCTGCCACCTGCGATGATTGTGAGCCAACTCCATCCATTTGCCATCCTCACAGCCCACCTCCCAAAGCTCCATCTTGATGTTATCCTCCCATCTCCTTGGTCTGCCCAATGGTCATTTTCCAGAAGGATTCCCTACCATGGTTCTGTATGCACCCCTTGCTGCCCTCCTCCATGTGAGCTACATGTCCAGCCATCGGAGTCTCATAGAGTTCACTATCCTCGCTATGTTAGGTGACCTGTACAAGTCATGCAGCTCCTCATTATGCAATATTCCAAATTACCCACTTGCTTCATCCTTCCTTGGTCCAAATGTCTTCCTGAGCACCTTGCTTTCAAACATTTGTAAAATTAAAAAAGCTCTGGGGATAAAACATAGGCCATTGTGCACTGGGAAGGGATCTGACAGAAGGTTACCTGTACAAACTCTACTAGATACCCCGTCCTTACACATCTTAAATAATCCAACATTTCTTTGGTCTTCCAAACTCCATCAAAATGCCCTAAAATACCTCTCTTATAACTGAGTCATGTGGCTTCCTAAAGTCCACAAATAGTTGGTGAACTGACCCATTATACTCCCACTATTTCTCTAATATTTTTTGAATGCAAAAGATCTGATCAGTGAAGATTTCTGTCTTCTGGGTTGTTGCGCTGTGTGGTCTGGTCGATGTTAACCAACGTTTCAGAGGTCATACTGCCTCCGTCATCAGGGCGATTAATAAGCGAATAGGGTGTGTGGGGCTAGGTTTATAGGTGCCGGAATGTGAATGGTGTAGCCTGCCCCGAGCCAATGGGAGCAGGCTACACCATTCATACTCACTGCTGTGGAAACCTCAAATCTTACATATGATCAGTGGTTGACCTATTATGACAGAATCCACATTGATCATCCCCGATAGTTTCACTCATAAAAGGCGTTAACTGTTCCAGAAGAATATTTGATTAAATGTTGTATGACGACAGAGTGATAACTCGGAGTTACCTCACTCAGTTTTGTTACCTATTTTATGGATAGGAGGAGACCGAGGTACAGATAGGATAATTTTAAAAGGATCGTCAAGGAACAGAGTTTTGAAGAAGGACTTAACTTATCTGGCATGGGATAGTATCCAGTGGTGGAATTTTATGAACATGGTGATGAACTTTCTGTTACCATGAAAGAGAATTAGACCAACTTCTCAAGATTCAGCTTAATGAAGTTAATTACAGTTCTTGCATTCAGTAGAAGTGGAATGATGTAAGCTGAATCATCAGTCATGAAGCCTGTAATCCAGTATAGAATTTTTATCAGTAAGCAGTTGAAGGATATCTTACACTTAATGTTGAATATGGCTCAATGTCAGTGGTAAGCACTTTATTCATGGTCCTGTTTGGTGGGCATCATTATGGGGTGACAGACTTTTGCCCTCATAAATCAGCAAAAATGGTGTGCAAGTTGTTTATATAATGGGTTGCCAAAATGGTTTGAACTCTTGTGTTACAACTAATTATAATCCCCAATCCTTTGCTGAGGTCTTTCAGTGCCATTGCTCTGCATGAAGTGTGAACACACCCAAATGTTTTCCATCTTGCTTTCAAACTCCAGAATAATCAAAAGAAGCATGCATGTGTTTATTTTATATTTATTTTAACATTTCTTTACAATTGAAGCTCATTATCCACACCAGGTATTCCTTAAAACTGTATTTTTTCTTGTTCTTCAAGAAAATGGCAGAAAATGTTCTTTAGGATTTGATGTTCTTTCAGTGGTGAGTACAAAGGTGGCTGTATTTTGGGTTGTAGTGCCATGTAGTCTGGTAGAAGTTTACCAACAATTCAGAGGTGCTTGCTACCTCCATCATCAGGGTGATGAGTCATCACCCTGGTGATGGAGGACCTCTGGAACATTGGTAAACTTTTACCAGTAAGTTGGCTGTAAGAAATTTTAGGCAGTTCTTCTGTCAGGTATCCATTATAAAGGTAGATGATTTAAGGTTATGTAAGTCATACAATGTTGGAACAACAACAGTAGAGTATAGACCACTTCTGGAGTTTGGAATTTTGAAGGATTCTTACTTAAACCTTCTGTAACACTTTATTTTGTGATGGCTTTCAATATATTTTGGCCACTCCATTCTTCTGTGCTTTATCATCATAACCACACATTTATATTTGCTGTGGTGTATTAATTTCTTAATAACTGCACTTCAAATTATTGATCACCATGTAGATAGAAATGTACCACAAGTTTCTGACTTAATTTTTTTGAAAACCACACAACTATCAATATTTTAGTGTTCAAGAAAGTATGTTGTATGTGTTATGTATGCATGGTGATTTATCATGGCAACTGGAACCGTGGTAGACTTGTGATACATACCACTTGCGTTTGATGTCATTTATTGTGCTATATGGACATTTATATTATATGAAAATGTTCATCTTGCTCTTAAATGCCTTTAAAGAACTTACATTGTAAACAGCCTGTTTATTCTCACTTCTCATTAAAAACTTTCCAAGTCTTTCCCATGGCTTTGTAACAACTTGGGATATTTCAGATCACTCTTATCACCACTCTAGAGTTCAGCAACTTACCACGAGGGACTTACTGTAAAAAGAAGGAGCTTATGGGAAATGAATAATATTAAAATTTAAGGACCAATAGTATGGCAGAATTTTGTGGCCAGTTGTGTATGAGTGGTGTGTGATGTTGACCACTCACCCCCATCTAGTGCTGAGATTAAGAATGAGTAAGACTCCCCCCCCCCCCCCCCCCAAATGCCTACATGGCGTATAGTGGGACAGCTTTACTTTTACCTGTGTATGACTGCACACAAATCACAACTTTCAGCACTGCTAACCCGACAATACAGCATTGTA